GTGTCTGATGAAAGAAGATGGTACTATAATGTGGTGTGCAACATTGCACAACAAACCCCAACCTCTGATCATATGGTGTTGGGTGAAGGTATGCGATCCTCCACTGACCGGAACCTGTGATTCTGTAGTTGACATAACCATACAGGTGAACCAGTGTTCATCAGAAAAAGAAATTAACCATGTCCATGCCATTCATCTCAGGGAACAGCCACTCAAAACTGGAGTTGCTGAGGAGCATATGCTGGTTTTTAGTGCATGATAATACAACGGTCCGTGACACTTAGCCGACAACCACTTAACCGACACCAGTTAGCCAACAGACATTTAGCCTACACGGACACTTAGCTGACACGGACACTTAGACGACAGGACATTTAGCCGACAAGACACTTAGCCGACAGGTCATTTAGCCGACACGGACAGTTAGCCAACCCGGACAGTAAGCCGACCGGACACTTAGCCGACAGGACACTTAACCGGCATGACATTTAGCCGATACACAGAATTGGCCGTCCGGCATTTAGCTGCAGGACAGTTAAACTGTCAAGACATTTAGTCAACAGGACACTAAGCCGACATGAATGTATTAATAAAGTTTCTAGCCTGAAAAGACAATTTTTCATTGGAAAGAAACTGGTTATATATTAAGTAAAAACGGTTACTCTATTTCTGTTAGACTCAATAAGCTGCCGAGCGGTAAAGTCACTGAACACTGGCAGTTCGGTCCAAATTTGAATCCCGCTAACAGACAGGCTGTTTTCGTGGTTTTTCCCATGTGTAAAATGTATACAAGGTAGTTTTTCCTTATAAAGTCCTCCACGAAGGCATCCCTCCCCTTAGGCAAATAGCCCTCTGGCTTTGCCGTAATTATATAAACCAAACTTACTTCTGTTAGGTGGCCGCTAAACCAAAAACGAGAAAGAGAAGGAATGAATGAGGAAAAAAAAAAAATGAATGAAAAATGAAATGAAAATTTACATTTTTATCATATATTGAGAAAATTTATATTTATAAGAAAAACATTAATATAACATATTGCCAATTATACATTGTGACTTTCAAAACATAGTAAATAATATTATCTATTTACATGACAGATAATATTTAAATCTAGCATCGTTAGATGCACTACATTACGGTGACTTTTTACGATGTGTCGCTTTGCTCCGCCCTACTTTGTGGCCCTTCCTTCTGCAGCTTCAGCTATGAATAAAACAAAACCTTAAAAAATATTTTACTTCTAAATTAAACATTATGCACTAGTTTAGGGCAATAAACATTAACCTAATTAAGTATTTTAAGTGACAGGCATGTTAAAAAAGTGTCACAATATTTTTATTTCAAGAATGGTAACATGAACTGCAGATTATAGTCACAAATAATTTATACCTTTGCTTGTTTACAGATTCACTTTTTGTAATTGTTTCTAATAACACAATAAAATATATTTGCTAAACTAACCCTCACCACCATATGTTTCTGTATAAAATATAATTCAAGAAGAACAATAACTTTTATTGCATTATTAAGACTTTTCAGAACTGTCTACTCCTACTATGCTGAGGACAGCAGCAAGTTGAGTCTAGCCTACGATGTCTCTCGAGTAACTGCGCTTCGTAACACGAAATGAGTGATCCCACCTCATTGCGGATTCTCGCACAATATTCCTACATGCACGTTATACCTATACAGTAACTGCCAAATAACTATAATTGCTCCCTACGAATATAATTGCTCATCACCTCCTATTTTGCTAAAGTGGTATCTGAATGCTTCGCATTCAAATCTCCTGAACTTAAGCTAGCACAGAAAAGTTATGCTCAGTAATCTTTTTCCCTTGCTATATTTAATCAGTTTCACTTGCTATATACAGGATAAGGCAATGCTTGGATACCTTGAACTGCGACTGTGTCGCTTCATAGTACAAGAAAAAATTTCATTAGTGAGAGGAGCCAACGATTTATAAGGGAAGAATGTAACATGATGTGATGAGTAAAATATTAATAAACGTAAGATATTAGAAATTTGAAAGCATTTGAAAGAGCGAGATTGGAAAATTATTATCAAGGAACAATTAAACAAGGGAAAATTAGTAATCATGTGAAAGTGTTCAAAAGAAACCAGTTTGATTAATGAAGAAGGATTACGATAATTTTTGAAGATCCTATATTAAAATGTAATTAAGCGACCGTTGTACTTAGCTAAAAATTCTTTTTTCCTTTTGAAATTTAATTCATATTCCCTTGACGAGAAATTTCAGCGCTTTTCAATTTGGCCAATATACACCAAACAGCACGATACATATCAAGCAATGCTAAATTAACACAATAATTAAAAGGACATATAGATCTTAAAATCAAAAACGAATTTTACTGATAGTGAAAAAAATAACTTAAGTATTGAATTTATGGAGAAGTCGAGAAATTTTGTAATCCCATAGTAAGTTTGAATAATTATTGGGTAATGTCAGCTAAACTTCACTGTCGCTTAGCGTTGACTAAATGTCTTGACAGTTAAGTGTCCCGTAGCTAAATGTCCTGACGGCTAACTCTCCATGTCGGCTAAATGTCCTTCGGCTAACTGTCCGTGTCGTAAATGTCCTGTCACCCGCATCCTTGTCGGCTAACTATCCGTGTTGGCAATTGTCCTGTCAAGTCCGTTTTAGTGTCTGTGGTCGGCTAATGCCTTCGGCTGAGTGTCCCCGTGTCGGTTAAACTTCGTCGCAAGTGTCTGTGGCTGCTAATTCACGTCGCTAGTTCCCTTGTCGGCTAAATGTCTTGTCGGCTAACTGGTGTCAGTTAAGTGTCCCATCGGCTAAGTGGTTGTCGGTTAAGTATCCGCGACCGAATAACAACAGATACTTTGCTGGGATGCATTTTTAGGTCCAGCTAAAGTATTCATTCACATAATTGACTTGATATTTCGTTCTCTTGTGACAGGCATCTGATTAATTTGGTAGGACTCTGAAGCATTTTCTATTGAATTGCAGCCACATTTTCTGGTATTTGGAATATATTTACTTCCTTGTCCGAAGTAAAAAGGAAGTATTGTAATAGCAAAAAATTTCAGGTATCATATTTCAATGAAAATATCCATTTTGACCACTATCAAATACAATTTAACAATGTTTTTGCGGGACATCTGTAGATAAGGACAGAATAAAAGACTCTTTTTTTTTCCCCCAAAAAAAATTATAAAACTGATTCAAAATGAATTTTGATGAGATTTTTTTTGTGGCATCTGTACGTATCTCGCATAACTAAAAAACGAGTAGACTCAGAACATTGAAATTTTGTATTCGTTGCTGTAACATGTAGATGTGCACCTCCTATTTTGGTTGCAATCGGCCACACCAAAACTATATAAATATATATATACATATCTCCACTCTGTTACTCAGCTCAGTGAGCTTAGTTTCTTTATAGTTATATGTTTGTAAATTGTGGATTTTTTTTTTTGCTTTAAAAATGATTGAATTATGTTGTTCTTATTTTCTGGTTAAGATTTTTATGCTTTTTAGTTAACATGCATGGAATAATTGTGGAATTATCAAAAATTTGAAAGTTCTTTTAAGTGCGGCTATGCCTAATTTCGGTTTACATGGCAGCCATATTTGTTTACATTTGAAACTTGGCAGAATAGTTGATTTGTTGCCAATCTTGAGAAACTAAGCTTCACAGCAACAATGTAACGTCTTCTTTCATTAATACGAATTAAACTATGCTTGATTCATTCTGGAATTATCATTTAAGTTATTAACTTGTTTTTGCATAGAAACTGTAATTTTAATATTAAAAATTGTTTTTTTAGTTGTTTTAACTGTACTTGGTGTTTTATGTTTTTTTATATCTTTCAATGCGTATATGCATTAGGTGAGCGGAGGCTGAATCATCTGTGAAAAACTGTTTCATTTTTATTTGTTTAATTGCTTTTATATATCGTTTTAGATTTATTATAGTATTTGAATAGAACATGTGGTAATTCTTCAGATGATATAATTTTTGTGCACTCTGAGTTATAAAATGAAAGAGATGTAACTCTGTTAAGTGAACCTAGTGCCAGAGTGTCGCTGTGAACTTTAAAGAGTCCATTTATTCTATTATGGTTTATTCGCTAGCAAGGAGGTAGATTTAATTCAAAATTCATTAACTGTTAATTCAAAATGTTTAAATAAAATGCAGGAAAATTGTGTATTATTTAATATTCCGTACAAGGAAGTCGTGCGGTGTACGCATCAGATTTTTTGACATGTTGAAAGCAGATCCTGTCTGACGCCATTTTCTGGCTAATAATTGCACAGCACACTTTGCTGGCACTGTGGTGCCATTCAACTTATGAGCAAACAACTGACTACACTCTTTCCACAATTTTGTTGCAACATGACTTTCTTCTGCTGCACTGTGAGTACCATCTTTGCACTGCTCAACTCGCTCTAAGATGGTTTGGATAATGTGTACATCACATGGTGTGATTATATGCATACATTCACGTCCAATTGCATCCACTTGTCCGGGCCACTTTTATTTACTTTCCTGTGCTGTGTTTCTTTGTAATCTGTATCTCTGTTCACCGAGCCATTTTTATTTGCCCCACCCTGTATAAAAATGGAATTTAGCTAGAGAATTCATGATTTGTATATGAGCTAAAAATTGGCATCTTAATAAAATTGTTAAGGCGTTACAAGCATATATTCTGTGTTATTAATCATATTTCCGTAGAGGTAAAGGCAGTTTATAATGACCATTATGAAGTATCCTAATGGTTTTTATTAAGGTAGCGGAAAGTCAATGTGTATAATGCGTGCATTACCAGACTACAGCTCTTTGTCCCGTTAAATACAGCTTGGGTTGTAACATACACGAGTTTTATTTTTGAAAGATTATTCCAAACGGAACAGAAATCGTTAAACGATATGGATTTTAAAGAGTTTTACTTTTCAAAATTATATATACAGAAATGTTAAGTAATTTCAGATTGTACATCATTTCTTCAACTGCTGTGGTACTGTTTGTACAACAGATAAAGAACTTTAAAGGACAAATACATTAGCAAAAGATAATGTTGATGATATAGTTTAAATTGAATAGCTGTACTCCATCTAGTAGTTAATGGAAGAAGCAAAACATATCTGATGTTCCAATCTGCATTTAATGAATTAATTGAGAATGATTGAAGGTAAGCTCTGTATGCTGGTTGGCATAGAGAGAAAATTTTGAAACTAACCTTCAAAAACTAAATTATTATTTGTTTGTGCAAAAGCTCTACTAAAAGCTGACAGCTTATTTTAAATAAATTTCATATACTGAATAAGGCTTCGCTGCAGAGCACTCTTTTGTTGAGTTGGAGTATTTGATTTAGAGTTCAGATTAAAGGAAAATCATTCTATTTTTCAGGTCATGTTTTCTTTCTTCACAAGAATGAAGAAATTTTCACTTTCTTCTAAAGAAATACTACACTCACGTTTGTGAAAATTGCAACACCATGAAGGACTTACGCAAGTGAGCTGAAATTTTCAGGAAATGCAAAGTAGCGCATGATATCAATGATTAGAATTGCAAATCCGTAGCTCATGCGTATGACAGCACCCTCTGCTTATGATCCGAAAAATAGACGGCGTAGCGAGGCGTGTAATGGTTACGGTCGTATCTGCTAGTGTAAACTTAACTCAATCTGTACTAGCCTCGTCGACGAAAGGACGAGATTTGAACAACTTCAGAGTTGAACGAGGAGAATCATCGGCCTTCGTGAGCTGGATTGTCGTATCGTCAGTAGCCTCGTGTGCAGCTAACCATACCAGTGATGCGCTTGGAAGCAGTTGATGGACGAGTGTCGCAACTCGAAATCCGGGAGTGGACCCCGAATGGACTCAGCTCGCGATGAAGACACCTGGTCCGCATGGCGCGGACGACCGACAGCTTCCTCTAGCATTGGCAGCACTGTGGTCATAGCTACAGGGTTTCATTTTGCTTCATCAATTCGTAGACGTCTGCTGCAGTGTGGACTGCCGCAGCTCCTTATCAGGATCCCCTAACGCACACATCGCCGCGCGGCTAAATGGGCCATCAGCAAGAGACGGCGTGCTGATTTGCAGCATGTCGTGTTTTCTGAGAATCCCGCTTTAATTTGTGGTACCATCGTGCCGCATTCATGTCAGACGCTATGCCGGTGAACGGCACCTTCCGAGTGATTATCGACGCCACGTGGACGAACACCCGAGTATGGTTGGGGCGCCATACAATATAGACGATCTCAATTCTACGAATTTGGGCATCTGAACAGCAACCGGTATAATCCGTGAAGTCTAACAGCCCGAGCTGTTCCCTTCCTTCAAAGCTTGCCAGGCGCTTATTTCAACAGGACAGCCGCCCTCATACTGCTCGGATTGAAATCCTCTTTGCAGCGCACAGGTACAGCTTCTTTCTTGGCCTGCGTGTTCCCTATTCCCCCGGATGTGGGAACATGGTGGGTCTGCCGTGATCTGTCCTGTTCGTTTTCGAAACTTTGGTCGTACAAACGATATGGATGCTCTTCCTCTTCAACATCAACGTGTTTGACTCCAGCCACGTCGTGTAGCGCACTTTTGCGCGCGTGGTGCCACACAAATACTGATTCTGATCTTGTTCTGTTTGTTTGCTTTGAACATTTAATTTATTTACCACTACATCACTTTGTATAAATTGCATCAATATGACGTTCCTTCTTGGTGTTGCAATTTTCACAAACGTGAGTGTATTTTATTGCTTCTTAATTTGCTATTATTAAAATAAATTCTCAAAGAACGTGTATGTTTGAAAGTGCATATATGACACACCCATCTGGAAGATCAATTGCAAGCATCGATGCACCAGTGCACCATCTGGCTGCTAGTGTCATTTGGGTCTATGTATATTTGACACACCTGTCTGCAGGGGATTTCTTAGTTCATCAACATGCCGTCGCAAAGGGTTTAAAATACTGCTTGTACTGTCATGACGTGTACCTCTGATATGTGCATCAGTTCAGTCTATGGACACTTTAAGTAAAAATTAAGCATGGAATATCAAGCATGGCAATCTTCTCCCATGGAAAGTGTTTTCTTGGTGTGGCATAGGCTGATATTTTTACATTTCTTATAACTAGTGTCTAGAGTATCTTTGGATAACTGTCTAATGGGTAATGGCTGTGATTTGATGAAGTTACTACTGTAGTGATCTCGAGAGCTAATCAAAATACTCACATTGCAAAGCAGTTTAAATATCAGAATCTGTTGCACATTAGCTCTTTTGCAACAGTGGTGTTATATTCGACTGCCACATAAGAGACCTGGGATCGAATCCCAAGGTCATTATCATCTTCAAGTTCATGCGAAACTCATGTGCTGCTGCACTTTATGATATTTGACTGCCGCATAACAGACACGGGATCAAACCCCAAGGTCATTATCATATTAAGATGTTTGCGAGTGTAATAATTCTGTGTTACATTGCAAAATAATTAACAATTTTACAGATAAGACCAATAACTTCTGTTATTTTGTCTGTATTATCAAAAAAATTACCAGATTTATTTTGTAATAAAAAACTTAAGAATAACAGTACCTAGTTCCAGAGATACTCAGATTTCTCAAGAAAATTATTTTATTTTCTTTCCATGCAGATTTTTCCAGTGGTACTACTGTGTGCAATATATTAGTCAACATATTTTACCTTATTGGTAAATTTTGCTTACAAATACTATGCCCGTAACTGCTGCAAAGCCCTATTTATAAGCATTGTTAACTACGTCCATTTGGTGTGTATTGTTCTAGTAATTCCAGCCGTGCTCCAACTAAACTTTAGCAACATACTTTAATAATTGCTGTGCAGGATGTGTTTAACTCTCTGTAACAGAAATGTTTTTCATATCGCATTTTTGCATCTTTTGGTCTTTCACATAGTAAGGTCGGTATATATTTGCTCCACTCTCCTTAGCCCTTTCTTACTTCTCTCTTTTTAGATTATGTATCTATCTATCTATCTATCTATCTATCTATATATACAGTCAAAAGTCATTAATTCGGACACCCATTATCCGGAATGATCTATAATCCGGAACTCAAAGCTACAAACTTTCTGCACATGCGTCGCGTTCACGCATGCGCACAGGCATTTAAGAGTGCACATAAGACCTTTACGGCTGCGAATATGTTTTTGCACATGCGCGTTTAATGTGTAACGATATAAGTTAAGCTAAAATTATCTAATTCAATTAATGTTGCACATCACATTGTTCTTAATCTCGAATTGGATCCGGCTTTATTTTTGCAGACGTTAGAGCAATTTTTATAAAAGTAAGCTCCGCGGTGGAAGTTGATCTGTCAGCACTATCCTTATCTTCAGGCAGATGTTTTAATTTTATTTGGCTTATAATTCCTTACAGTGTAGTATTTCATGTCGATGTACTCCGTGTTTGATATGTTTAAATCAAGTTCCTCGTCATTATAATTTGCTTCCGATAGTGAAGAAAGTGACCCAGAGGTTATTAAAACGAAACATTTCGATTGACAAATTAGTCGGTATTCCACACCAGAATATAGGACTTGAACAGCGGAACTTTGTAACTAAACAAGAAATGTCTGTTTATAGAATTAAAGAGAAAGTATTATCACATGAAACGAAGCAACTTACATTGAAGAAATGTTAATAAAGTAAAAATAAATATTAAGCTTTTCTTTTTTAAATTTTGATACCCTTTAGATCATAATGTTCTTTATTTCATAAATTACGGTTTCATATTTTTAATTTTGTAATTTCTGCATGCCATCTTACCAGATTTAAACTGATGATCTATAATCCGGAAAAATCGATAATCCGGAATCGCCAAAGTCCCGATGAGTCCGGATTAACGACTTTTGACTGTATATGTATTGTCATTTTGAAGATTTCATTTTAAACTCATTGCACTTGCATGCTATTTCTGTTGATAGTTAGAGCTGCTGCTTCAGACATATTTCAGAATTGTGAACTTTACTGATTTTGTTCTTCAAAAACAGGCACTTATCGCACGCATTATGATATGTAATTCAGTTTTAAGGATATGTTTCTCATGAATAAAGAAAAATGTATTTAATTGATCGTGATTGCAGGGATCTGAATTTTCTCATTTAAATTATTACATATATGTTATCTAAAAAGAGATGAGTAAGATGATGCACAGAGAAGCACAAATATAATAATGATATATAATTACATATATCATCTTTCATACTAACCCTACATCAATAATAGTCATGAGAGCTAATCTGTTATGATTAGCTCTCAAGTCCATTAATTTAGCTGGAAAAGAATCCAAATAGGTATTTCCATTTTCTTCAATTTTTATGCACTTGTAGGAACTTGTACAGTTTTGGCAGCTCTCCTTTTTCTACCCTATGGATTTTCGAGCAACATAAGGTAGTCTTTGCTGAATCAGTTTCAGTCAGAATTTCACCTGTAACAAATGACATCATGTTGCAAGCTTTTGTCCTTTCAGAACTTTTAGGAAAAAACCTAAACATTGAGTCAATTTCATACTGATCTAGATATATTGGTTGAAACTGGTGAGCAAATTAAAAAATTTAACTATTTAACTCTCTGGAATGCTTATTAAATAAAATGAAATAATTATTGTATTATAATTATAAATAATATTAAATAAATATGAAAAATAACACTAGAAAGCAAGGGATGTCTATATTACTAATTTGTATCAGATATAATTAATATATAGCTAGTAAGTACTTTTTGTTATATTGGCTTCAGTAAGTGAGGAAACTTGGGAGATTATTATATTTCAGTATTAATTTCTTCAGCGCCAGCATAGTCAGTTTCAACTAGAATTTGAGAAGAATTTTTATGAATCTCAGCTTATTGTACTGGATACATTGGAAAGATGTCTAAGTGGAGTAAGTTTAAAGCTTATTTGTATATATGCTTATAAGTTGAACATGTACTTTAAAATAAAAATATTTGAATACAAGTAATTTTAAAAAATTGAATTAATTTATATTATAGAAAGTAGCTCATTTGTGGGTTTTGTGAATAGTGGAGTGTCAGGGATTTAAATCACAATTTTGATCAATTTCACGCTGCTCTGCGAGGAAGGGGGGGGAGAGTCGGGATGCGCAATGAACTGGAAGTTGATCTGTCAGCACTATCCTTATCTTCAGGGAGGTTTTATTTTATTTGGCTTATAATTCCTTACTAAATGTAGTATTTCATCTCGATGTGCTCTGTCTTTGATTTGATGATCGTCGTTTATAAATATCACGAATACACATCAAATAGTTTTCTGGTTAAAATTTTCTAATTTCGACTACGCATAATATATGCGCGCGTTAAAAGAAATGTTTAATAACGTAAACAAATAAATATTAAACTTTTTTTTTGTAAATTTTGAAACCCTTTAGATCATAATTGCTCTTTATTTCATAAATTATGGTTTTATATTTTTAATTTTAAAATTTCTGCATGCCATCTTACCAGATTTAAACTGGTGATTGATAATCTGGAAAAAACGATAATCCGGAATCGCTGAAGTCCCGACGAGTCCGGATTAAAGACTTTTGATAGTAGCATACTTTTTTGATTGTAGGCTCTTTTAACCAAAAATAATCCTCTGCTTGCTGTATAGTAGAAAACAAGTCTGAAAACATAATTTTTATTTTCTTTCAAAATGCAAGTGAAGAAATACAGCAGTATTGACTCTATCCTTGTTCATGTAAACAAAGTGTGGCTTATCAAGAATCAACCAAGAACAAGAGTGGAATGTTATAAAGGTGTTATTTTTTCATGCTTGCATGTAATTGGCATTAAATCACATTGCTTGGCAATTCTTTCACAGTCAGTGGGATAATATGCAAGTACAATGGAATTCTTTAATGGGATAATGTGCAAAACATGAAAGCTAAGAACAGTTTTTTCCAACATAAATTTTTAAAATTTTGATTCAAATTCTGTTATTTAATATTTGTATTTTCTGAGTATATTTCTGTCTTCTTGAACTAGTTTCCTTTCTGAAGTATGGAAAATGTGATGTGTTGTTTTACAAAAGATGTTTGAAATTTTGATTTTGCTTTCGGAAGCTTTAATTTTATCAACCATGCTATATATGAACTGGCTTTTTCCTTGAAGTTAAGCCATTCAGATACTGAGTTATATCGACAAGAAAGGCAAAATCACACATCCATTTTTTAATGTTGGATTGGGAAAATGGATATTCTTTCATTTCTACATAGATGCTATTTAGCATACCACCTCTGCTCAACCCAGTATATATGTGTTATAAATTGCATCACCATATTCACTTTCAAAGTCTTTTAAAAAGTTCTTTAACTTGCCCATGACTGAATGCTTAAAATTTGAGAAAAATAATAAGTTTTATTTCAGTCATAGTGACATTTGGTATATGTAAAGTTTTTGCACAGAGGTTCTATTGAAAAAACAAATTACAGTTATCAGTCAATATCAAATGTGCATGTTAAGAGCCGTCAGGAAGCCTTCGAGTTGAGAAACATGCCTGTTGCCTTATGTTTATCAAAATCCAAGTGTGTATGAGTCATATTTGTCTTATTTCGAGTAGAAGGCCAAATCTACATGTATCTCAAATCTTGTAGACGTATAACACTTTTTTTTTTTAAATAAGTAAAATATTAATTGTATGTAAACATTCCAAACCTCTGACACAAATGCATGATGGGCAGGGGCAAACAAGAAAAACTCTGCCACACCGGTGTGCCAGCCAGGAAATACTGTTTTATGCTGGCACACATGTGACACTCGGCACAAAAGGGTTAAATGATATATGTGTAAAACAAGTAGAAAAATGCAGTAATGTTTGATTAAATAAGGTGCTAGATAGTTGGTCTAGTATTTACATTCAACTAATATTTTACGTATAATGTTTGTACAATAAATGGAACTACATTTAATGGAATATTGAGACATTAATGTAACACATATGTGAAAATTTACCTCTTAATTAAGATACAGTCAAAAGTCTTTAATCCCGACTCGTCGGGACTTCCACGATTCCGGTTTATCGGTTTTTCCGGATTATAGATCATCAGTTTAAATCTGGTAAGATGGCATGTAGAAATTATAGAATTAAAAATATGAAACCGTAATTTATGAAATAAAGACAATTATGATCTAAAGGGTATCAAATTTACAAAAAAAAAAAAAAAAAAAAAAAAAAGCTTAAATTTATTTGTTTACGTTATTAAACACTCTTTAATCGCCATGTGTAAGCATACATTACGCATAGTCAAAATTAAAATTGAACCAGAAATATTTGAATTGATCATGATATTATAATGACGAGGAATTTGATTAAAATCATATCAAGAGGAGCACATCGATGAAATACCTACATTTAGTAAGAAATTCTAAGCCGAATAAGGTATAAACATCTGCCCGAAGATAAGGATAGTGCGACAGATCAACTTCAGTTCATACCCCCCCCCCCCCCCAGTGCCAGCCATTGCAGATTTCGGAATGTAGAGAATCAAGGATTGCCTTATCATTTTTTGAGCAATTCCACTTTTGTTTGATGGACATCGAAACTGCTTTCGCTTTGTAGATCCTTTGCTGCTCCGAATCGGAATTCTTTTACATAATGACAGTCAAGCGGCTTTTATAAAATTGCTTAACAGTCTGCAAAAATATAAGCAGACCATTCGCAGATTAAGGAAACGCAACTGCGACATTAACTGAAATAATAATTAGATAATTTTAGATTAGCTTATACCGTCCTTATACATTAAACAAAAGGCATGCGCATGCGTAAAGTATTATGCGATGTGTTGACGCATGTGCAAGGTGTAGCTTGGGTCCAGATATAGATCATTCTGGATTATGGATGTCTGGATTAAAGACTTTTGACTGTACAATAAAAGGCCGAACAAGTATTAATTTAGAAGTCAAACAACAAAAATCAGAGTTATGTTTTCAAATTTCACAGGACTAGTTTCAATGATTTTACTGAACCATCATCCTCAGCCGCAAAAGCCCAAATGAATCTCAGCATTACTTCTTGTTGATGACATTAAAAAACTCTAAAAATAAAAAAATTAAATGCAAAGCTTGTAGTTTTGTAGCCAATAGTGCAAAAATAAGAAAATTAATAGAAAAAAAATTCAGCCTATATCATACGATTGTTTTGCTCGTATACTAAATTTTTGGACAATGATTGAAGTATAGTGGTACCTTGGTATATGTCATTAATCCCTTCCTGATCTTTGGAAGTGTATTAAACTGGAATACATCAAACTTATGCAGTAAGAAATAAAAGAAAAAATTAATCTACTCCTATTAAAAAATATTGTCATTATTATGATATTTGTTAATTCTAAAATACAAAATCAGTGGGTGAAATTTATGCTGTTCATGCTGTATATAATGAAACACTACAGGTGATACTGTACAGAAATGTTTTTCAGCTATTCAAATCAAAAGCGATTTTTTAACACATTCTAAACTCTCTGATCATTGTTTCGTATTTGATTTAATTTTGTTTGCAATGTTAGCCAATTTAATAGCTTTCTCGTCTTTTTGAATTGCCCAACAACAATGGAAGTGTGGTCCCTGCAGTACTTGTTAGATAGGATTCAGTCCTGCATCGAGTCTGCTGCTCAATCAGAGCTGCTGAAGTCAAGTAGCCAATGGATTGAATGATTGCTCATCTATATGATTAAACGAGGCAAGTCAGTGCTTGGAAGCAGAATAGGATTGGCAACAAACTGACCCTAAAGTGCTGGAATTGAGGGAGCGAAGGAACCACAGAGTACCCTTAGGCATGGGAGCTAAGAGTGCTTCCAACAAAGGGGAAGGAAAACTAATTAATGGCCATCTCATGCAGCAGAGTTTGCCATATATTAGAAGCCCTATTTTAAAACATTTCCAATTTCTGCAATGAGTGGAGGCAGTAGTGGACTCTTCATCATGGGATGTATCAGTGAAGTTCGTGCAATATGACCATTGATAGTCTATGAGACCACTGATAGACTATGAGATTGATAGAAGAGCTAATGTTACTATCATCTGAAAAGATTTGGTTCTACATTTGGAAGGTACACTCACCTGGATGTTGCCCTGCATTATACTGTGGACTGTGTCCAGGGATAAAATAGACCTCAACAGGAAATTAAACATTAATATCATGTTTCTAAATGCTACGTACCATGACACGGCATATGTAGCAAATATTATAGTCCCTTGCATACTCAGAATTTCTACGGAAGTACTATTTTTCCATGGACTTTAAAGATAATGAACTGCATTCTGCATTTGAGGGCATAATTCTGCTTGGAATTAAAAATGAAGGAGCTAAATCTGTCCATTAAATCTTTACCTCAAGATGATGTCAAAGTACCAGCGAGAACAGGGTTTCTACTTCTAGGATCCTCCACTTAGACGTTATGATGGTTATGGGAGCCTACTGCAGTATCGAAGGCCCCCAGGTTTGAAACTCGGAGAAGGTATGGCTGTAATTGTCCATCCCATCGTAGCAGGTAATGGTGGCCCACCCATTAGGTGCTTCCACATGTAAAATGGCTATCATTTCCAGCTTCAGTAGTTGCCAAGCTTAAGCCAGCTAAATGTCTGCCAATTGATGTGGAAGGGTGGGGAAAAAACCCTTCCAGGATACATAGCTAAAAACAGAAATTTCTGGTATGGCAGGATGGAGTATCGCAAGAACTGTAACAGCTGAAATGAGTACTAGTAGCTTTGGTGCTCATCGATGTATTGAGGACCATCGTTCTGATTAAGAGTTGCCAATATAGGTAATAAGAAGAAAATCATTAGGAAAGGCAAAGTGTTTGCAGCATGCATTCAAGTGACTTGTGTTAAATGAACCAGTCGTCCTCCAGAGTCTGTGTCTTTGGAAAGCCTAACATAGCATGCA